ATGTTCAATGGTCTAAGTTTAAATTAAGTTTGTATTGTATGGTAACATTTCCAAAGTATTGTATTTGATTTGTTTTAAAACTTGACATTTACTACTGAAAGACAATATTGTGACCATTTGGGTAAGTTGTTATCCAGAATGTTTTTCTAACGCCACACAGAAAATGAAGAAACAGTGATACCGTATAACAAACATACCAAATATCTGCGGAGTCGCCCAGTCATAAATATAGAAAAGTTACAGCAAATTAAAATTTCAGGTCCTTGGTGGGCGGTAGAAATAATCATTCACAGCTGCAAATATCACGCTCTATATTATTGTGCTTCCTGAAATCAGACAAAGCCACTATAATACTGCAGATTTGATGTGGTTTACACAATGATATCTTGAAATTTTGAAAATAAAGCGTTCACAAAGAGAAATGAAATTTAAATTCGGTTGCTATTACAAAGAACATCTGCTCTGTTTCGTCGTTAATAATAAGCAAGTTATTTAAATGGCAATTTATATACATAAAAATCGTAAAATATATTATGTTCAGCCATTTTGTGCTTGTGGTATTTGAGTATTCTTTCTGGTTATCCATTGAATTAAAAAAAAGGTCTGCGATCAAACAACAAACCATATACAAACTCTATAAGTGAACTGGGTCTGTTTATATGTATCTTGGTTGTTTTCGTGAACCTGAACACAACCTGGACTTTAATTGACACTGAATTCTTGTGTTGCTGTAAACAACATAACCTTTATTTTTTTGCATTGTGTATATCTTTGTTTGACAAGAAACCAAACAACTGGTAAACAAGTTACTATAATATAATAGCTATCAAAATGCAATGAAGCTACAGGCCAAGTTCGTGAATGAAATATAATGTTTTCTGTCCTATTATTCTGTACCTGATTTGACAACGAGAGAAAATTTCGCCAGGACAACGGCATAAGTCAAATATAAGTGTCGAAGGATCTTAAACGTGCTTAGCCTGTACCACACCGTACCACATCGTCCCATCCTATCGAAGACGCTTTTTCCATAAAATGCTATTTGCCACAAGATTCGTTACCTTCATAGAAGTGGCGTCTTTTTCAGTGCCCATATAGATGAGTGGGGGCCTGTGAAAACATGTGCTTGTTGCATATTTTCTTGGACTTGGTTCAACCTTGTAGGTTATTGTATTGTTTTGGCAATTGATCTTAAGACCTAGTATTGTTTTGGTAGTAGATCGTGTGACCTAGTAGTGTTTTGGTAATAGATCTTGTGACCTAGTATTGTTTTGGTTGTAGATCTTGTGACCTAGTATTGTTTTGGTAATAGATCGTGTGACCTAGTATTGTTTTGGTAATAGATTTTGTGACCTAGTAGTGTTTTGGTATTAGATCTTGTGACCTAGTATTGTTTTGGTAATATATCTTGTGACCTAGTAGTGTTTTGGTAATAGATTTTGTGACCTAGTATTGTTTTGGTAGTAGATCATGTGACCTAGTATTGTTTTGGTAATAGATCGTGTGACCTAGTATTGTTTTGGTAATTTATCTTGTGACCTAGTACTGTTTTGGTAATAGATAGTGTGACTTAATATTGTTATGATAATGGATTTTGTGATCTGGTATTGTTTTGGTAATGGATCTTGTGACTTAGTGTTGTTTTGATAATGGATTTTGTGACGTAGTATTATTTTGGTAATGGATCTTGTGACTTAGTGTTATTTTGATAATGGATTTTGTGACCTTAAATACTCTGCCTCTGCAGAAATCCAGATGTTCCACTTTTATTGCAATGTTACAATACTTATAATTCGAGGAAATTTAAATTGATGTCATTTAGGCTATGCAACCTTCAGCCTTCAGTTGATTATCTCTCTTCGTTTCTTCATACGTAATAAAAACATTCAAACTTTTATTGCAGCCTGAATCAGAAAAATGTTCTTTTCAATTCGCGAATATAAAGTCTTAAATGACCAGGCGGGATGGTGGAGGTGGTTTTAAGACGCCGGACCTAGTAGTATTTTGGTAATAGATCTTATGACCTTGTAGTGTTTATGAAATAGATTTTGTGACCTAGCATTGTTTTGGTAATGGACCTTGTGACCTTGTATTTTGTTAAAAAATCGTTGCAGATCTGATCTGTTTTGTTTTAATGCTATACACGTGATGCACTTCCTTTCTAATGTAAATTTCACCACTGCATAATCACATTACAAATGACAGGTATTCAAATTAAAATAGAATTCGATCACAGTAAACATGTATAAGGGTTAGTCAAATAACAACATGATATCACATTGCAATGTTATGTTCAATTGTTTTACAAAATTATATTTAACTATATAGCAATACAATATGTAAGCACAATATGGCATCTGAGGAACGATATTGTCGATTAACTATTTGCAATGTCAATTGCCAAGTTCATTTTCAGATTAATCACTTTTGGGAGCTAAAATCTGTTTAACCGTTGAAGATTTATTATGATGGATTAGTAGATGTAAAGTGATGAACTATGTTACTTTTTATGTACATTTCAATTTTCTCCATATATGTTCTGGACTTTACTATCAATGAACGAAATGGGAGAAATGTTCAACGAGTAAAATTTACGTAACTGAAAATGTTTACTGTATGACAAATGGTTCAACTCAGCCTTCAATCGTTCAACACATACTATCTGAAGATGCACTTTGTCAATATTGTAGGTTGTGTCTTTTGTATTCTGAGTCAACTGAAAGGGAGTATTCAAAAGCTACATAGTTTTGTGACGTCACTTGCTGTTTCAGAACCTCCTAATGGGATCGTTTAAGGAGTTCTAGGCCTACATGCCTCCTACAAATTGAGGAAGTAAAGCATCATCAATTAATTTGAAATATAAATTAGGGATTAAATTTGACAAATGCCGAGTGAAATTAATCAAAATACGTACATTAGATAATATGTCAAAAAAAAAGCACTTCGGGTATAGTTTTTCCATTGCCAGATGCCTATGATCTTCTATATTAACAAGTAAAATAAGAGAAAAATAATGACAGTATTTTCTCTTTCAATTCTTCACTCTTTTATCTATTGTCCTTTCTATTTAAACTAAATTCTTCTCTTTCATCAATGTGTTGTCAAAACACTGGTATGTAAATATAAATATAACAGAAGAATGTTAACATTTTACTCCCGTTTTATTTCTTTTCTAATCATCTACATCGCTCTATCGTCATAGCATACTTAGATTAAGTAAGGACTTCTCTCTACATGAAATTAAAAATAGCAACGACCAAAACAGAATTACAATTTTTCGGATTCGTACATAAATGTGCTGAAGTACATGTACATCATTCTAGAAAAAAATAACCCCTCAGAGTTCTAAATGTGTAAGAATAATTGTAAAAATTGTAATTGTTGCTTCAAAACAAATCTATTTTGTAAAGTTTTGGTGTCTGGATAAATAGATATTGTGAATGGGGGAAATAGACTTGAGTAATCTTTTTTTTTCTCCGACAACAAACGATTGTGTTATACTATTTGATGTAGAATTGTACAATCTATATTTTTGATATTTTTATACATTATTTAGCTCGTTATGTCTTTTACTGACATCAGATCTTCCTTGAATGTGAGGATCTTGTTGGCCATTGACCATTGGCTAAACATGGTATCGATCTTTCCCAAAGTGTCTACAAACATTTAAAGTTTTTTCTGAGTTTAAATTTCATGTAATGTATAATTATAATCCCCTCAGTCATGATTGTGTGACCCCATCAACAAACTCGTTGTCATCGTTAAGGATATGCATATGCAGTAGTGTAACATGAGCCTTTTACAGCTCCAGGTAAAATTGATCAACAGTGATAAAATTAAAATTAAGATGAATCAGACCGGGATGTTGATTATATTTTATGTGGATCACGATTATGTGTCGAACTGCTATAAATATATTTTAAGGCTTCTTGTATTTTCTTCGACAACCCTCAAATATATAGACTGTTTCAAATATAATCGTTGGGCATATTCTTTACCACACCTGGTGACAACCATGTGGCTATACATACGATAGAATACAACAGAAAACCGATCGCTTCAAAACCCCAATAACAAAATTATGATTTTTCTGATTCTGTATTTTATACAACACTAAACAATCTCACGAAGTTTGATCTTCAAAAATTTGGAAATGTTTCCATAATACTTTACAATGAATATTTTATCAATGAACCTTTTCATTTAGAAAACAGAAACATAATAATGATGGACAACGTCGTATTATCAATCTGAACTACTTTTTTTGAGAAAATGCGATGAAATATTTGCTTGATGACAATTATTAATAACGCCTGTTGTCAAGTGTTTTTTTTTTATGAGGCGGAGAAGGTTACATGCACTTTGATCAATAAAAGATATCCTATTTGACTATCAGACCATTAAGAAATGACTATTTACGACTAGTTTAACCTGATATTGTTGTCAAAAGATGTTCATGTAATCGGGACAATTGTATGGAAATAGAGCTAATGAAATAGGAAGAGTATGGATGATGGAGAAGACTTTACAAAATTAAAAGAAGAAAGAAGAAAACTTGCGACTGACAGTGGTGTTCTTTTCACTCATTATATCCACTTGACCTTAAAGACGACTCTTTCCCTCAGTGGAAACACATTTATGTGTCAGGAAAAACTGAGAGCCAGTTGTGCTTGTTCGCCAATTCTCGTAACCCTCGTGCATGTATTGCATATTCCTTTGTTGTGGCTCTGAAAAAACATTCCGAACAAAGGTACGCTCCTCAAACTTTTACCTCAATCTACAGGGACTCAATTCAACCAACAACAAAAATATCTCGTATTTGGATTTGTGTCAAAGATAATACTATCATAAAATATTTTTACGTGCCTGAAAACCACAGAGAGATGTAACTAATTTCAATTCCAGGGTAATGCTACTCTTATGTATGGCATTTAATGGGTTCCTTAACCATGCAAACCTCGTTAAATAATTACCTTCTGGGAGACAAATCCAAGTTGATCAACAGCTAATTTTCAATTTTATATAATCAATAATATTAATAACATTATAAATAATACATGAATATATTAATATATAGAGATATCCTCATCACAGATTCGTTTCACTTCAAAACTTTATAGTTTATAGAAATATTTTAATAAAAAGGTGTACTAATGGCGTATCATTGTATGTCATATAAATCACTCATATTATTCAGATCACAGTAAATCCATTGAGGAAAAATAAATACTTCAACTGTCTATGACACATTTTCTACCTATTTGACTTCCTCTATTGATATTTAAAACACTTGTTCAATTCACATCATTGAGCTCAATGATTCACACACTTTCTATGACAAATCGAAGTGGGGTGGTTATTGGTGTGTCACTGACAGACAATCGAACATTTGACTGTTGATGGCATCATTTTTTAAAAATGGATTTCACATGACACATATTGCTTCAACAACATTTTGTGAGCAATATTTGAATAGAAGGCAATTGTGGCGTTTTAAGTTAATTGTCATATCACAAAATACAACTTTGGTATTATAAATATAAAAATTGCATCCTTTGTTTAGCATTATGGGAACCTCCACTAGAGCCCTTAGTTCGAGAACTTATATCCGAATCTCTAAAATCACGTCCTAGATTTTGTCTATGTCCCCCAGAACTACCACTATTAGAATCACTAGTACCCATAAACTTTTCTTTTCCCTTGGGGGAAACGCCTTTACTTCCCGATTTGGCAGATTTCATAGATTCTCTGATTTGAAGTTGCTGTTCTGATTTGCTTCTAGTGTATTCTCGAGGAGGTAAGGGTGGTGGTGATGCTCGTGTGCCATTTTCAATTACTACTGACTGCCGTGGTGGTAACGGAGGAGGTTCGTCAGAATTATTACTATTACTGTTAGAGGAACCAGGTGCTGCGGTAACAACTCCGTAGATATTCCCACTGGCAGTGACGTCCGGATCGGCATCAAAATTGATACGTTTGGGATCAGTTGGTTTATATTTAGCATGATGACTGACCTTCTGACCAGCGTCTATAGCTCTAACACGAGCTCGAAAATCATCCAAAGGTTCATAAGCTGGTTCCTCCCAATAGCTCTCTTCGTCGGAATCATAGGTTAATTTTAATTTTGGAGTAGGACCGCCATCTCTTACATATTGGTAAAGTGTATCAATTTCATCCATTAACATGTCTTCGCGGCTCTTAGATCTCTTGATACTTGACTGGGGAGATTCACTGAGTTTTTGTGGACTGGAGAAAATGTTGGAGCTAGAGCGATGTTTATCACGAACCACAGATTCGGGTAGATTGACTAAAAGATGTATTGTATTATGATAGTTTGCTACCATTTTATTGCATCTTGAAAGAGTCATTTTAAAAGCATCACTTGCTTTAATTTCGTCGTGGTTAGATGGTGCTGTTAAATATATCGGCGTATCAGTAGGAACAGGTAAAATACGGACATGGTTTTTCTCTAACGGTGATATAAAGGCTGTTTCATCAGTATAAACCCAATCTAGTCTAATTAAAGTAGAAAAACGGCTAGGATCAACTTTAGGTTTTATTCCTTGTATCAATTTAACCGTCAATGGTAGTCTGAAACGTTTAATAATATCTTTAATTGAAAATACACCAGTCACATCCTTTGCACCGGCTATGGGAGTAAACAAACCTTTTTGATCATAGCTCAAGTAAACGCTATCACCTTTTGAGTCCTCACAACGTAGAAGTTTAACTTTGGTGTTTACAGACGGGGCTGGGAACGACAAATCACCACAAAGTTTTAACTGTTCTCCAGCTTGAATCATTTTTGTTTTATCAAAAGCCGTTAACTTGCCTTCACCATTCGCCAAATATGCCCTAACATTTTCTCGTACTAAACACCTTTGAGGAAAAAGTCTCGCTAATTCCAGCACACTTGCAATGGGTCGAGCAGATTTACCGTCTTCAGACGCAACTTCAAACCATCCTTGATAAGCTATTGGTATAGCAAGTCTTTGTTCCATTGGCACTAATTTGGTTATAGGTAATCCTCTTCTGGATGTGGCATCAACACGTCGTAAACTATGAGCTAACACTTTAACTCCCATTTTAACTGAATGTATATACACGTCCTGGTGCTGTTTATGCAGAGAAAAATTCGATACACCAATACTCATATACTTCCCCTTCACAACTTTCACAAGAGCTGGCACGGGTCTTTTACTAGAGAAATCCTTCAGCGGAATAATTTCACTATCCCATAACGGGACAGGTATATTATTAGGTGTGTCATTCGTTGCGGCCATATTATATTATTCTCCTATACACTCATACTGTAGTCATTGAATATATCCACAGTGTAGTTTATATCGACCAGTATAACAAAACTATTCAACGGTAAATGTCTGACGTACTGGTAAGACCAGTTTCTATATAAGGAAATTTCCGTCATTAATCGTGAGTAGACGGACAGGTAACAAGATGTGTCAACGTTGTCCAGGCTGAAAGCAGCTGTCGTTTTACGTCAAAACACCTGATGTTCGAAAACAACGAACTATAAACATTAGAGATGTTTGGGTATTAAAGGATTAAAAATAGTAAATAGACGATGAAACCGCTGAAATTACACAAAAGAGCATTTAATCCAATGCAGACTTTACGACGAAAAGCTGATTGTAAAAGAATAGTTGGCAATCTTTGGCTTTGTTCGAAGTATTCGGATATAATGGAAGAAACAAAAGGTGTCTTAATCGCCCTCATTAAACACTTCTTATCTTTCTTAGTTAATTACCAATACTTCATGAACATTTCAACTAGAAATAAATAAATGTGTTAATGTTTACCAAAACACTTCATTAATTATTGTTGCCAGAATAGGTAATAAGGAAATTTTGTTGTTATTTATTGTTAGATTAACCAAGAGCTATTAAAACGACATTAGATAGGACAGCTGTTCAAATCACAAGTAAATCTTGTGCTATAAAAATATTAAGAAATTGTATATAGTTTAGAGAAAACTAGAATCTATACACTTTACATTTTTCATCGTTGCAAAATAGCTCTTAATGCAGCCAATTCATTTATTAATATTTTAGCTTTAGTGAAATAAAATGCAAGAATGGGTAATGTAAGAATGACGGATAAAAAGGTAATGTAAGAATGGCGGGTAAAAAAGGTAATGTAAGAATGACGGATAATAAGGTAATGTAAGAATGACGGATAAAAAGGTAATGTAAGAATGACGGATAATAAGGTAATGTAAGAAGGAACGGTAAAGAGGTAATGTAAAAATAAAGGGTAAAAGGTAATGTAAGAATGAAATGTAAAAGGTAATGTAAGAATGACGGATAAAAAGGTAATGTAAGAATGAAGGATAATAAGGTAATGTAAGAATGACGGATAAAAAAGTAATGTAAGAATGAAGGATAAAAGTGTAATGTAAGAATGACGGATAAAAAAGTAATGTAAGAATGAAGGATAAAAGTGTAATGTAAGAATGAAGGATAAAAGTGTAATGTAAGAATGAACGGTAAAAGGTAATGTAAGAATGAAATGTAAAAGGTAATGTAAGGATGGCGGATAATAAGGTAATGTAAGAATGAACGGTAAAAAGGTAATGTAAGAATGAAATGTAAAAGGTAATGTAAGAATGGCGGATAATAAGGTAATGTAAGAATGAACGGTAAAAAGGTAATGTAAAAATAAAGGGTAAAAGGTAATGTAAGAATGAACGGTAAAAAGGTAACGTAAATATAAAGGGTGAAGTAATGTAAGAATGAAATATAAAAGGTAATGTAAGAATGAAGTATAAAAGTTAATGTAAGATTGAATATTTCAAATGTAAGATATAATTTACTTTTTGTGGGGGTGGAGGGGATAGTCTTGACCATTAACGCCAATGTCTTCGACCTAATGTGAAGGATATAGGGACAGTTCTCTATTTGTCCAATAAATCTTGGATTATTTATCCCCAAAATTAAACAGGATGAGTAGGCCTATGTTATAATACTATATAATGTTTTTATTTATTATGTCAATATGTCGGAGTGAGTAATAAGTAATGAGCCTTTTGAGAAAAGGGAGATAGTTAAAGGAGTATTCCCACATAAAAGTAGTCAACCTACAGATGAAATTAATTAGTCTTACCCTAGGTTCTAGTTCGTGCAATTTCTTGGTATTTCGTAATACAATTAGTTAATGGCCTTTTAGTATCGTATTCATGTGTATCATAAATGATACTTTAAATTGTATAAAGGCTTTTAAGTGAGATGGCGATTTCTTCAAATTTATTTAAAAGCTACACCCATGATCACACGATAATGTCTTGATACCCATTTTCTCTGTGAGGTTCAAACAATATCTGAAGCAGATAAATAAACATTATATACAAGCTTAAACTATGTCCTAGCGGCACTCATTATTTTAATCCAAATTAAATACTATTCAATGCAGGTCTCTGTAGACTAAATACTGCTCAAATTTGTTACAAATATTTTGATTGTAATAATTTAAGAATACTTTATGTCATTTCAAATGTTAAATATTAAGTGCATTTGATGATCTTCAACTATTGAAAATTGTGTAAATTCGAAATAACCACATCAAACAAAACGATCTGCAAACTTCTTAGTTTTGTGAATTCTTTCATTGTCTTAATTTAGGCTACTAACCATTTATTTCCATTGACACTTATTACCACACATACCAGACCAGCAATTAGAAAGGTCATTATTTTTTTCATTAATGGTTTAGGTTATCGGGTAAACCTATAGTAATTACATGCTATTGAATACAGTCAATAAACCAAACATAGAAATAAAATTAGGTTTGTTCATGGTTGAAAAATCTATTGAGTATGAGTTTTACACATAGTATTCATTGTTAATAACACAATGTATTCGAAGTCAAATATTGTAATTTCAGTGACTGTAGTACATATTGATTTAAATCAGCCTCTTTCAATGTAGTCAGGTATGCATAAAGCTAGTCATGTATTTAAGATTTTTTTTTAATGAAATACGATGGCTAGCCAGTCACGATAACATACGACCGCGGTAAAGGATATAAGGTATAATAAGAGGCTGTAGAGAAAAGTTAGAATAAGAGACCGTGGAGATAAGATACAATAAGAGACTGTAGAGAAAAGTTAGAATAAGAGACCGTGGATATAAGGTATAATAAGAGGCTGTAGAGAAAAGTTAGAATAAGAGACCGTGGATATAAGGTATAATAAGAGGCTGTAGAGAAAAGTTAGAATAAGAGACCGTGGAGATAAGGTACAATAAGAGGCTGTAGAGAAAAGTTAATAAGAGACCGTGGAGATAAGGTACAATAAGAAACTGTAGAGAAAAGTTAATGAGAGACCGCGGAGATAAGGTATAATAAGAGACCTTGGAGATAAGATAAAATAAGGGACTGTAGAGAAAAGTTAGAATAAGAAACTTTAGAGATACGTTAGAATAAGAAATTGTATAGAAAAGTTAGAATAAGAAACTGTAGAGATAAGATAGAATAAAAGACTGCAGAGGTAAGTTAGAATAAGAGACCGTGGAGATAAGATACAATAAGAGACTGAAGAGAAAAGTTAGAATAAGAGACCGTGGATATAAGGTATAATAAGAGGCTGTAGAGAAAAGTTAGAATAAGAGACTGTGGAGATAAGGTACAATAAGAAACTGTAGAGATAAGTTAGAATAAGAGACCGTGGATATAAGGTATAATAAGAGGCTGTAGAGAAAAGTTAGAATAAGAGACCGTGGAGATAAGGTACAATAAGAAACTGTAGAGATAAGTTAGAATAAGAGACCGTGGAGATAAGATACAATAAGAGACTGTAGAGAAAAGTTAGAATAAGAGACCGTGGAGATAAGGTACAATAAGAGACTGTAGAGAAAAGTTAGAATAAGAGACCGTGGATATAAGGTATAATAAGAGGCTGTAGAGAAAAGTTAGAATAAGAGACCGTGGAGATAAGGTACAATAAGAAACTGTAGAGATAAGTTAATAAGAGACTGTGGAGAAAAGATAGAATAAGAAACTGTAGAGAAAAGTTAATGAGAGACCGCGGAGATAAGGTATAAAAAGAGACCTTGGAGATAAGATAAAATAAGGGAATGTAGAGAAAAGTTAGAATAAGAAACTTTAGAGATAAGTTAGAATAAGAAATTGTATAGAAAAGTAAGAATAAGAAACTGTGGAGAAAAGATTGTAGAGATAAGGTATAATAAAAGACTGCAGAGATAAGATAAAATAGCCAGTCACAATAACATACGACCGCGGTAAAGTCAAAAATTAAAATAGTACGATTTTATATCAAATAAAGAGACAAATTAGCTATTCAGTTCTCAGATTTCGTATCAAAAGCATTTCTCTTGAGATGTATCTGCAGAAATAAGATAGAATAAGGGACTGCAGAGATAAGAAAGAATAAAAGACTGCAGAGGTAAGTTAGAATAAGAAACTGTAGAGATAAGTTAGAATAAGAAACTGTAGAGATAAGTTAGAAGAAGAGACCGTGGAGATAAAATAGAATAAGAGACTGTAGAGAAAAGTTAGAATAAGAGACCATGGATATAAGGTATAATAAGAGGCTGTAGAGAAAAGTTAGAATAAGAGACCGTGGAGATAAGGTACAATAAGAGACTGTAGAGAAAAGTTAGAATAAGAGACCGTGGAGATAAGGTATAATAAGAGACTGTAGAGATAAGGTATAATAAGAGACTGTAGAGATAAGTTAGAATAAGAGACTGTAGAGATAAGGTATAATAAGAGACCGTGGATATAAGGTATAATAAGAGGCTGTAGAGAAAAGTTAGAATAAGAGACCGTGGATATAAGATACAATAAGAGACTGTAGAGAAAAGTTAGAATAAGAGACCGTGGATATAAGGTATAATAAGAGACCGTGGATATAAGGTATAATAAGAGGCTGTAGAGAAAAGTTAGAATAAGAGACCGTGGAGATAAGATACAATAAGAGACTGTAGAGCAAAGTTAGAATAAGAGATCGTGGATATAAGGTATAATAAGAGACCGTGGATATAAGGTATAATAAGAGGCTGTAGAGAAAAGTTAGAATAAGAGACCGTGGAGATAAGATACAATAAGAGACTGTAGAGAAAAGTTAGAATAAGAGACCGTGGATATAAGGTATAATAAGAGGCTGTAGGGAAAAGTTAGAATAAGAGAACGTGGATATACGGTACAATAAGAGACTGTAGAGAAAAGTTAGAATAAGAGACCGTGGATATAAGGAATAATAAGAGGCTGTAGAGAAAAGTTAGAATAAGAGACCGTGGAGATAAGGTACAATAAGAAACTATAGAGAAAAGTTAATGAGAGAGCGCGGAGATAAGGTATAATAAGAGACCTTGGAGATAAGATAGAATAAGAGACTGTAGAGAAAAGTTAGAATAAGAGACCATGGATATAAGGTATAATAAGAGGCTGTAGAGAAAAGTTAGAATAAGAGACTGTAGAGAAAAGTTAGAATAAGAGACTGTAGAGAAAAGTTAGAATAAGAGACCGTGGAGATAAGGTATAATAAGAGACTGTAGAGATAAGGTATAATAAGAGACTGTAGAGATAAGTTAGAATAAGAGACTGTAGAGATAAGGTATAATAAGAGACTGTAGAGATAAGGTATAATTAGAGACCGTGGATATAAGGTATAATAAGAGGCTGTAGAGAAAAGTTAGAATAAGAGACCGTGGAGATAAGGTATAATAAGAGACCGTGGAGATAAGGTATAATAAGAAACTGTAGAGATAAGTTAGAATAAGAGACTGTAGAGATAATGTATAATAAGAGGCTGTAGAGAAAAGTTAGAATAAGAGACCGTGGATATAAGATACAATAAGAGACTGTAGAGAAAAGTTAGAATAAGAGACCATGGATATAAGGTATAATAAGAGACCGTGGATATAAGGTATAATAAGAGGCTGTAGAGAAAAGTTAGAATAAGAGACCGTGGAGATAAGATACAATAAGAGACTGTAGAGCAAAGTTAGAATAAGAGATCGTGGATATAAGGTATAATAAGAGACCGTGGATATAAGGTATAATAAGAGGCTGTAGAGAAAAGTTAGAATAAGAGACCGTGGAGATAAGATACAATAAGAGACTGTAGAGAAAAGTTAGAATAAGAGACCGTGGATATAAGGTATAATAAGAGGCTGTAGGGAAAAGTTAGAATAAGAGAACGTGGATATACGGTACAATAAGAGACTGTAGAGAAAAGTTAGAATAAGAGCCCGTGGATATAAGGAATAATAAGAGGCTGTAGAGAAAAGTTAGAATAAGAGACCGTGGAGATAAGGTACAATAAGAAACTATAGAGAAAAGTTAATGAGAGAGCGCGGAGATAAGGTATAATAAGAGACCTTGGAGATAAGATAGAATAAGAGACTGTAGAGAAAAGTTAGAATAAGAGACCATGGATATAAGGTATAATAAGAGGCTGTAGAGAAAAGTTAGAATAAGAGACTGTAGAGAAAAGTTAGAATAAGAGACTGTAGAGAAAAGTTAGAATAAGAGACCGTGGAGATAAGGTATAATAAGAGACTGTAGAGATAAGGTATAATAAGAGACTGTAGAGATAAGTTAGAATAAGAGACTGTAGAGATAAGGTATAATAAGAGACTGTAGAGATAAGGTATAATTAGAGACCGTGGATATAAGGTATAATAAGAGGCTGTAGAGAAAAGTTAGAATAAGAGACCGTGGAGATAAGGTATAATAAGAGACCGTGGAGATAAGGTATAATAAGAAACTGTAGAGATAAGTTAGAATAAGAGACTGTAGAGATAATGTATAATAAGAGGCTGTAGAGAAAAGTTAGAATAAGAGACCGTGGATATAAGATACAATAAGAGACTGTAGAGAAAAGTTAGAATAAGAGACCGTGGATATAAGGTATAATAAGAGACCGTGGATATAAGGTATAATAAGAGACTGTAGAGAAAAGTTAGAATAAGAGACCGTGGAGATAAGATACAATAAGAGACTGTAGAGCAAAGTTAGAATAAGAGATCGTGGATATAAGGTATAATAAGAGACCGTGGATATAAGGTATAATAAGAGGCTGTAGAGAAAAGTTAAAATAAGAGACCGTGGAGATAAGATACAATAAGAGACTGTAGAGAAAAGTTAGAATAAGAGACCGTGGATATAAGGTATAATAAGAGGCTGTAGGGAAAAGTTAGAATAAGAGACCGTGGATATACGGTACAATAAGAGACTGTAGAGAAAAGTTAGAATAAGAGACCGTGGATATAAGGAATAATAAGAGGCTGTAGAGAAAAGTTAGAATAAGAGACCGTGGAGATAAGGTACAATAAGAAACGTAGAGAAAAGTT